AAGCAAGATGAAGGCGTGCTGAAGGTACCTGCGGGTGGCCCGGGGGGTGGCCGAAGGCAGCCTTAGATCGGCTCTGGGGAGGGGAAGCAGATGGGCCTGCCGCACATGTGCAGGCCTTTAGCGCCGGGCACGGGCAGCCCATGCGGGCATTCCTCTGGACCTGGGACCCCGGGGGCAGGCTGCCATTGCAACCTCCCGGCCGTTCTCCAGATCTTGCCCTGGAGAAGCCCGAATTGCCCTCCCACTCACAGACTGGGCCGATCAGGGGTGGGAAGGGGGAGCTACAAACCGGGGTGGGGCGTGGGTTCGGTTCTCAGGCAGGACCTGAGCACCTACTCTGTATTCCCCCACGGCTGGTGGACCGGTGCGCTCCTCTGAGGCTGGCCCGGCCCCCCAGCGTGGATCCGGGAAAGGGGAGGTGGGGCCCGGATGGCGACGGAAACTCCAGGATGCATGGTGGATGGAGAGAGGCTGCATCAAAACCTGTGCACATGAAGCGCCTCCAGCAGGGTCTGGCTGGGGTCGAGCCTTGACCTCCCCTCGAACCCCATTTCCACAGAGGATGTTTCTGGAGCTTAGAAGTTGCCCATCATTGGTTGATAAGGTAGCAGGAGCTTGCCAGGTCAGTTAAACATTAGCTGAGCTGTTGGGGCAGTTTAGGACAGCAGTTATCAGGTCCTGGTGCCTCTTGGGATTTAGAACTGGAGATGAGGGTGGGTGTGCCGCAGCAAGATTCTCCACCCTAGAGCCCGGGGTCCTGCTGCTGCTGACCCCTCCCCTCAGCTTAGCTGTGCATGCAGGCATCAAGTTACCCTCCCTTTCCTTTATCACCACTACCCCCCACCTCATGGAGGGAAGGGCTGAGGAGGTGTGGATTCTGCTGTAGTTACTGAATAAGGTGGAAGAACAAATAGCCAAGGGAAGTAGTTGTGGGGGCCAGTGTTCTAGTGGTTGAGCATCTTGACCTGGGTCAGAGCAGCCCAAGGGTGATTTGGAACAGGCTTTAGAGAGAGTTGGCCCGTATCCAGAATAGCATGAAATCCAATCTTTAGTTTCCCTCTCCTTTTCTCCCCTCTCCTCCCTTCCAGGCTCCCCACTCTTTACCTGGTTTCTCAGCAGTGAACTAACATTTTGAGCTATTTGCCCAGAGTTGGGGACCTGACCTGAATTCTAGGATTTAGAGGATCATAAACTGGACTTCGTTCTTTGAATCTCATTATGGGAGCCAAATGGGGACCACACACACACACACACACACACACTGAGAAACAGGCCCTTTATCTTTCCTAAAAGGACCTTTGTAGGAAGGATTATTCTTCCTTGCTTCCCCATTTGTTCTCTCTCCCTTAAGTCTCCTATCTAAAGAAACTAAGATTAGTTCTGTTCAGGTCTGGTTATTCCACGGGGTAGGGTAGAAAACCCCTGGAGAGAACAATTAGTCAAAGTATTTGCTTGGGGGCTCATAAGGAAGCCTATCTTTTTAGAAGTTCTGGAAAGGAAATAGCAGTGTCCTGAGTCCCTGGAAATAGCCCAGAACCATGGCATTCTGGGGGTTTGCCCATTCTACAGTTTGGAGGTCACTCCCCCCAAGTTATTTAATCTTGTCTAGGTTTTGAGATTCTACCTTTTCATATACAGATTGGCTCTGCTTTTCCCTTCCAGTGTCCCAGAAATGCCCAATCTCTAAAACCTTTCCCTTTCTGTATGTGAGCTGAGATAGAGAGAGATAAGATTCTTGGAATGAGCCCAGAGAGTTACCTGTTTATAATTAGTTGTTGGTGAGATTCCCAAAGATAGAGTGGCAAAATCTAAGACTTATATGTGGTCATTCAAAATTCAGAACAGCAGAAAGACATGGGCTGGAATGGAAATGCCCCAGAAAAAGTTGAGGGTCATTTGTTCCGAGGCCAAGGCTACGTATAAGTTGTGTTTGGTGCCTGAATCTCAGTTTCATTGGCAATTCATCTGTTTCCCCTCTTTTTCCACAATCTAGGGTTTTGTTTTGTTTTTCCCCTTTCTGCTCTCTCTAGACCCTTGTCATTTTCATCTTAGGTTTGCCCCTCTCAATTTTAGTTCCTATCCCCTTTTCCTTTCTTCAAATCAGTCCTGTTTTTGTTGACCAGAAGAGTTCATAAGAGTCAGTATGCTGTAGTGGATAGATGCTGGGCTTAAAGACAGGAAGACTTGGAATTCTTACCAAGTGGATAAGAGAACACTGGTCCTAGAGTCAAGAAGAGAACCGAGTTCAAATGCAGCTTCAGACACTTAATCATCTTAGTGTGACCCTGGGCAAGTCATTTAACCTCAGCCTCAGTTTCATCTGTAAAATGAGGATAATCAGTAAACATTTTTAAGTACCTATTGTGTGCCAGGCACTGAGGATACAAAAAGAGGTAAAAGACAGTCCCTGCCTTATATGAGCATACAGTCTAGCAGGGGAGACAACATGCAAACAAATATATACAGGATAACTAGGAAATAATTAACAGAGAGAAGGCACTGGAATTAAGAGGAGTTGGGAAGGTTTCCTGTAGAAGGTGAGATTTGAGTTGGGACTTAAAGGAAGCCAGGGAGGTCAGTAGTCAGAGCAGAGGAGGGAGAGCATTTTGGGGATTTGGGACAGCCAGAGAAAATGCTGGGGAGCAGAGATGGAGTGTCTTGTTTGTGGAACCACCAAGAGGGCTGTGTCACTGAATCGAAGAGTAAGTATGTCAGGGAGTAAGGTATAAATAAATAATAGCACTCACCTCCATAGGTATTATGAGGAACAAATGAGATAAGCTTTGTAAAGCACTTTGCATACCTTGAAGTGCTATATAAAGGCTGGTTGTTAATATTGTTATTGCTATTAATGTTATTGCTGTTGTTGGTGCTCGAAGCAGCCGTAAAGATTATTTAGTTAATTTTATTTAGTGTATTTTTTATTTAGTATTTAGTATCATTTTATAGATAAGGAAACTGAGGCCCAGGTAGATGATATAATTTGTCCAAAGTCACAGAAATAATAAGTAAGACAGCTGAAATTTTAACCCAATCTTTTGGTTCTGGTTCTAGTATTCTTTCCATTATATTTTATCAGGGAGGGGGAGGTCTTACTATGCATACAACCTTCACCCGTGAGGAGGAAGAGGTTAATTTGGGCCTTAGTTAAGATGCTGATAATAGAGCCCTGGCTAGGAGCTTTCTTCTCCCCACAAGGGTATATGACTCATAGCCTCTGACGGCAGGGGCTGATGATGAAGATGTGGATGTACCTTAAACTCCCTAGGTGATCAAACGAGAGGGGACAGGCACAGAAACTCCCATGATTGGAGACAAGGTCACCGTACACTATACCGGCTGGCTGCTGGATGGTACCAAATTTGACTCCAGCTTGGATCGCAAGGACAAGTTCTCCTTTGACTTGGGCAAAGGTAAACTTGATGGCTAAGGAAAGGCCGGGAGGTGTGAGAGGGAGTGTGGTGGGCAGCCTAGTGGTAACACTCCAGGGGTCCCGTTTAAAAGGCCTAGCTGGACACAGGGCAGGATTGCTTGTTACAGACTAGAGGACAGAAGAGAACCTTTTTGTCCTTCTTGTATTTCTCTTTTTTTACTCTCCCCTTCTCCATCTTTCTCCACTGAATTCTTCCCTCCATTTATCCACATCTATGATTATTTTTGCCTTAGTCTTCTGGCCTTTGGAGGCAGTAGAATATAGTTCTCCTCTGGCTATCGTCTTAGAAATACAAGGGTGAAAAAGCCGACAGCTTTTGCCCCATGTGGACATGTGGGAATTAATAACACTGCGGGGGAGGGATGGGACCTCCCACTTTCCTGGTCTCATCTTAAAGAGGGGATCAGGTTTTTGGTTTGTTAGGTACCTCTCAGGACAACCTACTGACTTTTGGTGAAACCTCAGCTAAGATGGTGGGGGAACCTAATGTATTTTGTGTCTACAGGGGAGGTAATCAAAGCCTGGGACATCGCTGTGGCCACTATGAAAATTGGAGAAGTCTGCCACATCACTTGCAAACCAGAATATGCCTATGGTTCGTCTGGCAGCCCTCCCATGATCCCCCCCAATGCTACCCTGGTGTTTGAGGTGAGTGGCAGGCCACGAAACAGAAAGAATTAGAGCCAGGCCTTATCTCAGTCTCACATTGTGGCTAAGGCTAAGGGCCTGGCCTAGTGGGAGGACATGGGGTGAACTGCCTCTTCCAAGATGGGTAAGAATTCTAGCTGTGCTACCTCCTTTATCAGCCTGGACATTATAGTGCTAACCCCTAGAAGTGATGAATGTTCAGCACACAAGTTTCTGTGTCCTTTTCCCTGCCTGCTCCAAATCAGCATGCTTTCTTGCAAACATCCTACCCCAAGCATGCAACGATGTAGAGAAAGAAAAGACCATTCCTTCCCTCCCTGCTGACCACCTGGTGACTTAGAACATACACAGAGAAAAGGTAGAAACCATTCAAGGTAGCGCATTTGAGCATAGTGTCCAGAAAGCCATCAGATAGATTCTGGTTGGGTAAGGGATTGATGTGCAAATAAATAGATGATAGACACATACTCCTCATCATAGTGGAAGTGATCCTGCTTCTCAAATACGATGCTAATAGAGGACAAATCCTGGCATATTCAAGTATAAGCACAGTGATGGACCTCTTACCTTAAAACTAGCACTAAACTTGGACAGGTTCATTACCGGGCTTTTGGGATGAATTTTTCAGCCATTGCATCTCACAGGTACCACTACCATTTGAAGGGTTGTGAAGGCATCACCCACCCTGTTGACATCAGTGATCTTTAGATTAAATATTTTAAGGCCTATCAGATCAGTCCTAATCAGGGAGCTAGAAGGGATTGGAGAAGTATGTTCTCTTTTTACAAACTAGATGGCCAGAGACCAACAATGATGCTAACTAAAATCAGAGTCAAACTTACTTTTGCTTTTACCAAGGCTTGATGGGTACTGAACCAGGTTGAGGAAATGATGTATCCTCATGACCTCTCAAGTACACTTCCCATCTTCCCATGAGGAGCTGGCATGGAATTGCAGAGGCTTAGCCTTTTGCTATACCAGAAGGAAAATGTTAGTGAGGAGTAAAGGGCTTACATGAGAAGGAGAGGGAAAAGGACAAATTCTGTCCTCTGGTACAGTGGAAAGAACGCTGGCTTTGGAGCCAGAAGATCTGAGTTCAACTATTGCCTCTAACAGTGACTCCTTGATCTCCCTAAGACTCAGGTTCCTTATCTATAAAATGGGAAGATTGGACTAGAAGGCCTGGGGTACCTTCTTCCAGCCCTAGACTTAGGACTCTGATCTCTCCTGTAGGTGGAACTATTTGATTTTAAGGGAGAAGATCTCACTGAGGATGAGGATGGTGGGATCATCCGCAGGATACGGAATCGAGGCGAGGGCTACTCCAAGCCCAATGAGGGAGCTCGAGTGGAAGGTGAGGCAAAGTAGCCTTATGAAACAGAAGGAACAATAAACTTGGGGGTACCCTTCCTTTCTCAGCCACTTACCTGTGTCATTTGGGGTAAGTTATATTTCTCAGAGGGTTTATGAAATGAAAGGACCAGACTACATGGTTTCTTAAGGTTATATCCATTCATGAGAAGGAAAGGGCTGGAAGGCAGGAGGAACCTTCCCTTCTGTGTTCTACCTGCTGTAGCTCCTGATTCTGACTTCTCCCTCTCCCCTACCTCCAAAAATCTCCCTACAGAGAGGGCATCTTCCCATCAGCACTGGGGGAGGTGAGGGGTAGCAGGCTCTCTCCTCCCCCACTCACTGCCTGTCTCCAATTACTCCAGTTGTGCTAGAGGGTCGCCATAAAGGCCGGGTCTTTGACCAGCGAGAGTTAAGCTTTGAGATTGGAGAGGGTGAGAACTATGATCTTCCCCCTGGACTAGAAAAGGCGATTCAGCGAATGGAGAAGGGAGAGAACTCTATTGTCTACCTTAAGCCCAGGTGAGAGTGTGGTCAGAGGTAGGCAGAGTTGGGCACTCCAAGGGGGAGGGGAAAAAGACGAGCATTTGTGAGGCTTCTTATTCCCAGCTGTGTGCAGCACTTTACAAATTACAAATGTTATCTCATTTGGGCACACAAACACACCACCTTTGATCCCGGAGGTGCCCACCAACCTCGTTGGAGTCAGTGCCATTATTTGTCTCTCTCATAGCTATGGTTTTGGGAGTGCTGGGAAGGAGAAGTTTCAGATCCCAGAGGATGCTGAGCTACAGTATGAAGTGATACTCAAGAACTTTGAGAAGGTAAGATCAGAGGTGGTACTTATACATTTCCTTGTCTAACATTCCCTTGGGCCTCAGCCACTCAGCTTCCCCAGGGTCACTTGCTGAGAGAGCTAAAGGCTTCCTTTCTTCCCTGGGGGTTGGGTAGGCCAAGGAGTCTTGGGAGATGAATGCAGAGGAGAAGCTTGAGCAGAGTGCCATAGTGAAAGAACGGGGTACAGTGTACTTCAAGGTGAGTCAAGAGCCCATTGCCCTATAGGCATTTTTCTTTTTCCCCACCCCCTGTTGTCGGTCTAGAGCCTCAGTCTGTACCTCTTGACAACTAACTGGGTTAACTGGTTATGTGTCTGCCAGGAAGGAAAAAAAAAATGCCTCCATATTGTAGGGTTGATACAGAACTATGGCTTACCCATACCTTTGAATATGCTGTCATGGATTTAGTATTGCCTGTTTACCTGATGCTTCCTGGGTGCCCAGCAGTGAGTCGGGTGGCCTGGTATATTTTTCCAGCTTTATTGTTGGGTGTTTGGGACAGAAAGAGAACCTGATAGCCCTGCCTCTCTCATTCCAGGAAGGCAAGTATAAGCAAGCCATGCTTCAGTACAAGAAGATTGTGTCCTGGCTAGAATACAAGCTGGGCTTCTCTGAAGAGGAAGGACAGCAAGCCCAGGCTCAGGCACTGAGATTGGCTTCACACCTTAACCTTGCCATGTGTCACCTCAAACTGCAGTCATTTTCTGCCGCCGTGGAGAGCTGCAATAAGGTTAGAGCTCACTAGAGGGTAAAGCAAAGTGTCTGAAGCTGGAGGAACAGTAGGGATTTGGGGCTGCTGAGTACCTTGGGCAGCGTGTAGAGTTTGGTAGTAGGTTAAATAAGAGTATGGGGCAGTCTAAGGGGGAGCCATCCAGGGCTCTTTCCAAACTTCCATCTCCTTCATTTTTTACTCGATTCTTTTGGAAAGAGTTCTGTTTCTTAAATTTGGTTCTGTTTAAGGGAAACCATTTAAATGGTTATATGTTCAGTCTGAGGTTTTGGAGCTGAGGACTCACTCCCAAATTGCTGATCCCTCTGCTCCTCCCTAGGCCCTAGAACTGGACGACAACAATGAGAAAGGCCTTTTTCGTCGGGGGGAGGCCTATCTGGCTATGAATGACTTTGAGCTGGCGAGGGATGACTTCCAGAAGGTCCTGAAGCTCTACCCCAGCAACAAGGCTGCCAGAACCCAACTGACTGTCTGCCAACAACGGATCCGTGAACAGCATGCCCGGGAGAAGAAGCTTTATGCTAACATGTTCCAGAGATTGGCTGAGAAAGAGAACAAGGTAAGGGCTGAAGAATCAGGAAAGTAGAAAGAAGAGGGAGTCTTATTTTATCTTAGTAGTCTTAATGCCCCATGACTAGGTAGGATCAGAGGCACCTCTTTTCATTTCAGTAAAATGGGATAGCATCTACTTTCTCTGTTTCTGACCCGCCCACCTCCCTTCTGGCTCAGTTGTGATGCTCAGTTAGGTCTCTGTAGACAGGGCTTTTGATGTCACAGGCTTCCCTCAATCTTTGCTTCCTCCTCTGCCTGGAAACTGACACTTCTGGCCAGGCAGGTAAGCAGCTTGAGGGTGATGATGGGTCAGTTGGCCTCCCCTTCTTGAGTAGTATTTGTGTAGGGGTTGGGATCACTGTATGTGGGTGTTGTGAATGGTGTTTTGCCCGTGGGGTTTATGTGTGCAGAGGTTAGATAAATGCAGGTGGGTGTGGGGGTGTGTGTGTGTGTGTGTGTGTGTGTGTGTGTGTGTGTGTGTGTGTGTTGGCTAGGAGCTGGCCTATGTGGGTGTCTGTTTCCTTATAGGTATATTTATGGTGGGGCTGGTGGCTTACAGAAAGGCTCTAGGCCTGAAGTGTGGGTACCTTTCCTTTTCAGAAGAAATGGGATTACTGTGATCTATCTTTACTTCACCTTAGGGGTTTATTTTGTAGAAAGTTATAATCCTTTTCATCTTCTTCTTTCCTCTTTTAGCCTGAGGCAGAACCAGCTGGAGGAGACTTTCCATCTGATGCAGAGATGAAGGATGACCAGCAGAATGGTGTGGAAATGAGCAAGTCTCAAGTGGAGGCAGAAGCATAGCCAGCCCTCCAACCCCACTCCCACGGCTGCCTACCTCCCATACCCTAACCTTCCCTACTCCACCCTATTAGTTTTGTAAAAAGCAAACAAACAAAGACAAAAAAAGACAAAAAAAACCTGAAGAATTTTGAGTGAATTAGACCTTTATTTTTTTATCTGGTTGAAAGGTGACTTTAGGGAAGGGGAAAAGAACAGGTTTGTTGGGGTTGGGAAGGGGATGTTTTTGGAAAGGTAATCCTTTCTACTCCCCCAAAAAATGTTAATTTATTTTGCTCCTTCTGCAGCCTGATCCATTTCTACATTGGGAGGGGATCTAGTCTTGAAGCTGGGGTGTAGATGGAGAAATGCAGAACACCCCCTCTTCTCCTCTGTTGGTGGCAGGGGAGTATAACTAAAACAAAACAAAACCCACTGCTGTTTCCCTGGCTTCCATTCGTTCCTTTCCTAATCCCAGACTTTTGGCAGTTGGTCCTTTCTGGTATCGTGGTGACCATTTTCATGTGTCCTTCCATTTTTCTTAACCTTAGCTATTCCTTCTCCCCTTGCCTGTTCTATGTTGTACCCATCCCTGTTCCTTTGGCCTATTACCTGCACGACATTGAAGATCCAGGCTCTCTCAAGTTCCATACTTGAGTAATAAAATGGAAACAACCAAAGTTTAGGAATCAGGCTGTGCTTCCTGTTCTGCCCAAAAGGGAAGGGGTGGTGAGAGGACCTCTGGGTGGGAGCAGTCCTAATACAGGCAAAAATTAGAAAGTACCTCTCTGAGGCAAACAGCTTATTATACTTTGACTTGTCCAATGAGATTGGCCAACGTATTCTTTGAAGCAATTTAGCCAATTGGTGCAATTATAAGCAACAATTGAGGCCAAACCCTTGAGAACTGTACCATCTATCAAAGGTATATAAGGTGGTAGCTGATAACAGGATGCTGAAAAGAACTCCAAGTGATAATAGAACTGGGCAAGGAGAAACAGATGGATATATAAATGAGAAGAAAAACTACAGGTTAAGGTTGTAGCTAGGGCAGCATTCAATAGGATTCAACCTAGGACCTTAATCACATTCTTAAAAGGGAGAGAATTGACCCTTCAAGGTCCCTTCACACTCTAGGTTAATAGCATTGTTTTCAAGTAATGACACTGTCGTCGTGGCTCCTGGTTATCTTCTAATTTTTTTTTTAGGAGATTGTAAGCTCCTAGAGGGCAGGGACCATATCTGTTTTGAATTTGGTTTGTATGGCAATGCATAGCTTGGTGCTTAATAAAATACTGTTAAATGCTGAGAGCATTCCCCCGATGCATATCTGAGTCGCAAATCCCCTCTTCAAATGACACAAGTTGAGTGTACAATGCAAAAAACACTGGACTTAGTTCTAATTTTGGCTTTTAAACTTAGCCACATAATTGAACCTTAGTTTCCTCATCTGTCAAAATAGGATCCCTATAATACCTTCTAAGGGCATTAAGATGTAAGAGCTATGAGGGGCAACTAGGTGGTGCAGTGGATAGAGGTAAGGCCTTGGAGTGAGGAGGATCTGAGTTCAAATCTGGCCTCAGACACACAACACTAGCTGTGTGACCCTGGGCAAGTCACCCCATTGCCTAAAAAAACAAAACAAAAGAAAGCTTAAAAAGGGGGGGGGGGTAGCTGGGTGGCACAGTGGATAGATCCCTAGAGTCAGGAGGACCGGAGTTCAAATGCAGCCTCAGACATTTAACACTCACTAGCTGTGTGACTCTAGCAAGTCACTTAACTCCATTGCCTAGCAAAATACAACAACAACAACAAAAAAATGAAAGCTATGTGTGAGTGAGCCCTGAGTATTACCTCAGACCCCCAGCTGCCTGCAACACTTTCTTAGGGCATTATTAAGCTTTGCCCCATAGAAAATTTGCCTCCTCGAGGTTGGTGGTTGTTTCAGTATAGGACAGGGAATTTGAGATTCACAGTAAAGGTAACTAGAAGCCCTGGGTTGACTTTGTAGTCCTAGTCACCTGAAATCCTCAATTACTTATAAAAGGTATAAGACTATGGAGAACTATGAGGTTCAAATAAGATGAAGGATGTCTCCAAGAACTTCTTAAACTGTAAAGCACCGTATAAGTATCATTACAACTTCCAATGAAAGGTACTATGCTTTTCTGTTGTGGTTCCTTAAATTTAAACTTAAAAAATCCAAAAAAAATAGGGTTGTGATGAAAGCTTTTGGCAAACTAAAACCCTCACAGGTTAATTATTAACCATCATGACTAAAGCCAAGCATTTCTACAGTGAAAATCTTTGCTTTTAGGAATAATTTATGCCAACTCACCCTTAGGTCAAAAGGTGCCATCTCTTAGAAGTAAATAGATAAGAGCACTCCAAGCTACACAGTATGTATGGCAAAGCCATAGTCAGAACCCAGGTATTTTCCTGTTTCACATGCTATTGCTATTCCCAAGCTAGAATTTTAACAATTGCCCTCACCATTGTCAATATGGTAGAAGCATTTAGGTACCCAGTCTTTGGATATTCCTTAAACTCTGGACATTCTTAAACCAACTTTGTTCTAGTTCAATACTATTTCTGCATTCTTTCTGTACATAAAAAATCATACAAGAAACTGAAAACAGAATGAGGGACATCTATCTCCCTAATCCACAACAGCTAGTTTATATAGTGCTTTAAAGTTTGGAAAACACATTTCGAAATCTAGTTTTATTCTCACAACCCTAGGAGGCAGGTGCTGTTATTATCCCCATTTTGTAGATGAAGAAACTGAGCCAAAGAGATTAAGGGACTTTCCCAGGGTCACAGAGTAAGTGTCTGAGGTTGGATGTGAATTCAGGTTTTCCTGACGTCAGGTCAAGGGTCTGTCCATGCATGGCACCACCTCTCTGCCCACCATTTCCTTTGCACTGCCTTGCTGACTTGAAGTATATCTTCTCAGGAGGCTTGTCACTTTCCAGTTCAAATCATAGCCATTAATAATTTCTGCTAGCACCTTATGGAAGACCTGCCCTGGCCAGTCTGTCCTTTCTCACCTCAAATCCTTATTCTTGCCCCCTTCTGTAAGTCATGACTGAAACTAAACAAGGTTTAGAAGACTTTGGCTCTATTAGCCACACTGGGCATGCTCAGTAGCCAAGAATAGGTTTGCCTTTTCACAGATGACCAGAATCCAGTTTAGAAATTTAGAGATTCTTACTCAAACATTCAGAAGACAGAGGACCAGAATCCAGTTTGGAAACATAGGGATTCTTACTCACAAATTAAGTGGTGGTTATATGGTTTTCTCACATTCTATGGGACTGAAGAGGCCCCTTACTAATACTGGGTAGGCTGCAATGACTGGGACCTTGGAAGGGGCAGCTTCCTGGGTCAGCAGTATCAAAACAACTCAATTTATAATCTTGACCAGGAGATCATCACCTTAGAACCTTTTTAAAAATGCAGGTTCATGAAGGAATTGATTTTTCTTTGGGTAAGATACACACATTACAGGTCATACATTTCTGTCTTACGAATACAAACTGGCTGAGTCACTGAACACTACAATCTGCTTGAGATTCCAAATACATGAAAATTGCTGCACTGCTAAATACTTTGAAATATCACTATAATGCGCTAACAGAATTCTATGTTAAAGGATGGAATTTCTTAGTCCAGCAGTTCTCAAACTTTTTGGTCTCAGAACTCCTTTACAAACTTAAAAATTATTGAAGACCCCAATAAACTTTTATTTGGGTTATATCTATAAATATTTAAAATTTTAGAAGTGAAATGGATATTTTTTAAAAATTTAAAAATAAATTACATATTAACATAATAAATTTTAATGAAAATATATATTCCAAAACCAAAAAAGTTTTTTGAGAGAAAAGTGGCATTGTTTTATATACTTTTGTAAATCTGGCTTAAATCTGTTTTAAAGTCTGACTTAATAGAAGATAGGTATATTCTCATAGATGCTTCTGCATATCACAATATGTTGTTGTGGTTGAAGTATATGAAGAGAATCCATCCTCCCAGATAGGTGGATAGAAAGAAAGGAATATTTTAATAGGCAAATAATGTCTAAGTATTATTACTGAAATAGTTTTACTTCATGGGCCCTCTAAAAAGGTCTCAGGGACCCCCAGGAGTCTGCAGACCATAATCTGAGAAGCACAGAGCTAGTCCATCCCCTTCATTTTGCAGAAGAGGAAATAAGACCAAGGAAGTAAAGTGACTTACCTAATGTGCAGCTAGCTATTAGCAGTGTTATAGAATCCAGATTTTCTGACTATTATTTTCTTCCAACTGTAGGATACTGCTGTGGGTTGTCTGGGCCTACACTGTAACACTACTTCTTATTTGAAGAGGTTCTCATTGACTTTCTTGATCATTATTCTGTTTGGCATAAACTTTGAAGGTTTTGCAGGAATAGTCTGCAGAAGTTGGGCAGTCTGCCTCCAGTTCAGGTAGCCATCTTCCCTCTAAGTTTCTTAATATAACAATAGGTAGAACAGGTAAGTTCTCTGTATGTTGTCCCTTAATCTCACTACATGACTGATCTAGATCCCTTTTTGGTTCAACATCTTTTTGATGGCATATTTTTTGACACCTATTCTTTTATCCGAAATTTAGTTTTTCATTATGAAATTAACAATCATCAATAAACACAAACATTGAAATAAAAAGAACAAAATGCAGTGTATATGAACCCAATAATTTTTAAAATATATTGTTTGTTTTAAAATCTATTTTAAATTCAATCAGGTAGTTAAAAACATATCCCTAACAAACAAACAAAAAATATCCCTTCTGCTCTACTTTTTTTTCTTTTTTTAATTTTTTTTTCTTTTTGGTAAATAGTATTTTATTTTTTCCAATTACATGTAAAGATAGTTTTCAATATTCGTTTTTTATAAGATTTTGAGTTTCAAATTTTTTCTCCCTCCTTTCCTCCCACCACCTCTCCTCAAGATGGCAAGCAATATAACACAGGTTATACGTATGCAATCATATAAACATTTCCACATTAGTCATGTTGTGAAAGAAAAAACAGAATAGGGAAAAGTCACAAAAAAAGTGAAAACAGTATGCTTTGATGTGCATTTAGACTCCATAGTTCTTTCTCTGGATGTGGATAGTATTTTCCATCATGAGCCTTTTGGAATTGTCTTGGATCATTGTATTGCTGAGAAGACCTAAGTCAATGATAGTTGCACAATGTTGCTGTTGCTGTGTACAATGTTCTCCTGGTTCTGCTCACTTCACTCAGCATCAGTTCACGTAAGCCTTTCCAGGTTTTCTGAAATCTGCTGGCTCGTCATTTCTTATAGCACACTAGTATTCCTACATTCATATACCACAACTTGTTCAGCCATTCCCCAATTGATGGGCCTTCCCTCAATTTCCAATTCTTTGCCACCACAAAAAGAGCTGCTATAAATATTTTTATACATTTAGGTCCTTTTCCCTTTTTTATGATATATTTGGGATACAGACCTAGTAGTGGTATTGCTGTATCAAAGGGTATGCACATTCTTACAGCCCTTTGGCCATAGTTCCAAATTGCTCTCCAGAATGGTTGGATCAGTTCACATGCATTAGGGTCCCAATTTTCCCACATCTTCTCCAACATTTATCATTTTCCTTTCCTGTCATATTAGTTAATCTGAAAGATGTGAGGTGGCACCTTAGAGTTGTTTTAATTTGCATTTTCATATGACTATAGATAGCAGTAATTTCTTCATTGAAAACTGCCTGTACATATCCTTTGACCATTTATCAATTGGGGAGTGACTTGTATTCTTATAAGTTTAACTTGGTTCTCTATATATATTAGAAATGAGGCCTTTATCAGAAACACTGGCTGTAAAAATTGTTTCCCATCTTTCTATTTTCCTTCTAATCTCAGTTGTGTGTCTTTTTTTTGTTTTGTTTTTTAGTGAGGCAATTGGGGTTAAGTAACTTGCCCAGAAGTCACACAGCTAGGAAGTATTATGTGTCTGAAGCTGGATTTGAAGTCAGGTCCTCCTGACTCCAGGGCTGGTGCTCTATCCACTGAGCCACCTAGCTGCCTCCTTAGTTGTGTTTTTGATGGCATATTTTATACCACTTACTGTATTTCAGTCATCAGTGATAATATGCCTCACTCACTATGTCTCTATTGCCTTTTGAGTGACCCATCATTTTGATATTTTCAGAGACTGATATTCCATGATTCAAAGTCATATGCCATATATGGAAAAATACATTATAAAAAAGGTAAGTTTTTGTTTGAGAGATGTTTGTAGCTATAAGATTTCCCAAATTCAATCCAATTTAGCCCACTCCCTATATATTTCTTGATCCAGTTCACTGTCCATATACAGTGTCTGCCTAGATATACGTACTATACGTATAACCGTTTTACCATTCAACTGTGTGTAAGTCTGGACAATGCTTGGTTTTTCCTCTGTGGATTGTTAGGCTCAATTTTTAAGCAGAATTACTTTAGGAGAATCTGCAGTGTTTTGGGTCTTGATCAAATCAGCATGATGTCATCTGCAACAGGAGCATCTGCAGTACCTCATCATCTATATGGAATCACCCTTCTATTTGGACTGTGATGGATATTTTCAGTAACAGCGGCAAACACTTTTGGTGTGTAACTGTTCCTATTTTATGCCCTGCTTAATATTAATAATCACAGCATTGTCAAACATTTCCATTCTTGCATCTAATGAGGAATATTATGTAATTTTAACATGCATGGAAAACTCTTTGCTGGAAGTATTTAAAACTGCAATTTGATCTAGTAAGTCAAATACTTTTTTATGGTCCACCAAAAACAAGCATAGTGGGATCTTACATTCTCTGCACTGTTCAGAGCTCTGATCTGCTGTAGCCAGCTTGTTTCCTTGTGCTATTTTCATCAAAGATGCCTGTGATAGGTGTGCAAATTATTCTCAGAGATTTTGTAAATACGAGAAAGCAGGCATATGAAATAATATTTTATATGCTTTTTTTTTTTAGTGATTCCATATGTAATTTCCCCCTAGTTATCTGGTAGCTTTTCTTTTTTCACAATTTTACAAATCCTACATAGGGTGCAAATCCTACCTAACTCACAATAAAATAATTAAGCTTAATTGCTTCTGAAAGTAATTATATCTGAATACACGACCTTACTCTGTAGTGTGTTTGCTTAAATCAGTACCAACACTGTACACTGAGATTTTTGTTACACTTTCTTTAACAGCTAGATAAACAGGTTTTGGGATTTCAAATTGCATGCCTTATCTTCTCAGGTTTATCCTACTTTTATATTTTGATCCTGACTCTATGATCTCTAATTTCTATCATCTAACTGTAAACAATACTATTTAAGAGATGACTTCCACATCAATCATCAGACATTTCCTGTCCGTTAAGACAAGAGTCAATTTCAAAAATTAGTTTTGGACAGTTTTTGAGTTAAAGATGTCCATGGGAGTTTAACGAATGCTAGCGAACAAGGGTGATGGTGATGCACATTAAGCACTTCAAAAACCTTCCAGTGCTATATGAATGTCAACTACTGTTTGTTGGAAAGGCCCGTGGGCTGCGAGGTGATTGGTCCGGCGCCCCACAGCCAATGAAGCCGAGGAGCCAGGCCTCAGACCAGCCTCGTGACTCCAGCCCACAAAAAGCCAAGCCCTGGCTGCAGCAGCCATAGAGCTGGGAGGTCCCAATTGCCTAGAGCTCCTCCCTCTCTATGGCGGACAAAGAGAGCGGAGGATGAGGGGATGACGTAATCACCCCCATGCCCACCCCACTCCGCCCCCCCACCTGACGACTTCCGCTTGGTTGGACGGTGGAAGAAGAGTGCGAGGACTGGGAGGAGGATACCTAAAGCCCTCGGCCCTAGATAGCGCAATGCGATCGGTTAGCTACGTGCAGCGAGTAACCCTGGAGTTCAGCGGAAGCCTCTTTCCGCACGCGATTTGTCTCGGCGACGTCGACAACGATGCGGTACGTCATGGCGCGTGCGCGCCCTGAAGGAAGCAGATGGACATGTGACGTGTGCAGTGGGGCGGAGCGGGAGGGCAAAAGAGAAGCCCGAGGCTTAGGAGCATGCTAGAAAAGCTGTGCGCATGCGCTTTGGCCTGGAGGCTCATTAGAGGCCGGAAGTGGCTGAACCGTGCTAGCAGCAACCCATCCCCCACCTCCCAACTGCGTGTTTTTGTGAGGTGCTTTGGTCTTCCCCCTCAGTAGGACCTTAAATGTTCGTTACAAGTTCTCTAGACGAGATAAGGCATCTGCTTCCAGGTGAGGAGAGTAGTAAAATGATACCAATGTAATGACAATACGTTAATATGTAATTATAATATGTATTGTAATGCATAATATAGTACGTAAATACATAAATATAATTTATAAATACGTAAGTAGATTATAACACGTAAATATAATATGTAATACATTATGTGGATACGTAATACAAATACGTAAATACATCATACACAAACAATATAAATATATAATAATAAGCAATAGAGCATGAAGCCAAGTGCACATGACCTCTCAAGGTGTCTGGAGAGTCCAAAAAGGCTTCCTGGAAGAAGCGATATTTAATTTGGACTTTAAAGGGTGGGTAGAAATTTAGCAGGCCCAGAGGAGGATGGAGAGTCCTGGAAGACCAGGAGTTCAAATCCACTTAAAGATACTCCCTAGCTTTATGACCCAAGTTAAGTCACTTTATTTCTTAGCCTCAGTTTCCTTATTTGAAAAAATGAAGATAATAATAGCACCTGCCTCACAAGGGTATTGTAAGGATTTTAGTTCAATAAACTTTTATTAAACACTTACCATGTGCTAGGCACTCTGCTAAGTATTGGGGATACAAAAAGAGTGGAAAGACGGTCCCTGTTCTTAAAAAGCTTATGGTCTAATGCAATAATATTATGAAGAGCTTTGTAAACCTTAAAGCAGTTAGGTAGATAGATAGACAGATACATACATACATACATACATACTAGCTGTTATTATTCATCACCTCATAGGATTTGGCAGGTATCTGTTAATAGTGGAAGAAGTCCTGGGTTTAAATTCTGACCTTAGGCAAGTCACTTTCCTGTGGCCCTCAGTTTTCTCATTTGTAAAATGAGGAAATTGGGCTCTAAGGTCCCACCCAACCCCATCGTTTTATAGATGAAGTGAAATGACTTGGGCAAAGTAACTCAGCTAGTAAATAGCAGAATCAGGGCTCAAGCCCAGGTTCTCAGACCCCCCAAATCTAGCATGCTGCATTTCTATTGCACTATACTAGGAGTGACAGCTAGGTGGTATAGTAGATAGAGTGCCAGACCTGGAGTCAGGAAGACTCATCTTCCTGAGTTCAAATCTGGCCTCAGACACTTAATAGTTGTGTGACCCTGGGCAAGGGACTTAACTCTGTTTGCCTCAGTTTCCTCATCTGTAAAATGAGCTGAAGAAGGAAATGGCAAACCACTCCATTATCTTTGGTAAGAAAACCCCAAATAGGGTCACAGAGAGTCAGACACGACTGAAAATGACTGAACAGCAAGAAATGGATGAATTATCCCTCTTCTCCCTCTCTTAGCCTGCTGGCTTTCTTCAAGACTCAGATGAAATCTTTCTTTCTACAAGAGGTCTTTCCAGTCCCCTCTCCCACTGCCTGCCATTATTGCCTTCCCTTTGAAATTGCATCTATGCTATACTAAACTATACACACATGGTTGTTTGCATGTTATCTTTCTCCTTTAGAATATGAGCTTCTCAGGGGAAGGCCGATGTTTTTAACCTATCTTTGTATCCTCACCTAAGAACGTTGTCTGACATATAGTAAGTGTTGAATAAATATTTGTTGACTAACTGTGAGCAAAGAGAGAGGCATGAGTGTGGTATTGCGGGGGAGAGTCACCCAGTTTAGTCTGGATCATAGAATATGCTAGGTGTTTAACCCTTCAGTCAGGAAGCCAGGAATAGGACCTATACTTTAGCTGGGTCTGCCCCCAAAAGCCACACCACACTGGAGAAGAGGAAAGCTTTGAAAACCAGGAGGGGGAAGGGGAATCTCAAAAGGACTTCTTCAATATTGCTAGTCTGTTTTTCTATTGAGGTTACTTCAAGTGCTATTGATTTTTTAAAATAATTCTTAATAAACCACAGCATATGGCTTTTCTTCTATTGCTTTATTGCTTCTGTTTATATTAATACATTATATTAAACTTATTTATATTTTGTAATAATGTAATTTATGATAAATCATATTAAATTATATTAATATTAGAGTTGAATTCTTAGAGAAACTCACAGGTGACTGTGTTGGGTACAGTTGTGTGAGGGGGCAAATAATGAAGGCATTCATCTGAAGAAATCAGAAAAGACTTTGAACCCACTTGCATTTGCCATCATCACTGGCACAAGAGACCAGTGACAGGCTGCTTCCCGAGATCCACTGGGAATTTGGGCACAACATAGGAAAGAGGATTAGTAGAGTGAACCTCCCCACTTGGGAGCCTGTTGACCACCTGAGGGCGCCAGACACACAACTCAGGGAATTAGAACACAAACTACAGCTTCTTCACTGTATCCCTTCACCCACTGTCTGTACACGGTAGGCTTTATTTTTTTATTCTGAACTAAACAAACACCAAATCAAATGAGCATTTCCATATATATGTTGCATAACAGGAGATAACTGCATATGAAACCATGAGTCTGTTATAAGTTTGCTTACTTTTCTTTAAAATTCTATAATAAGTTTAATATGTAATTTTCCCACTTGTCCTACTCATATATGATTCCCTCAGACCTTTCTCACATTCTTGTCTCATTTGGGGAGGGACTACCTTTCTCCCTGTGACCTTCTCCCTTCCCCATAGTTGAGAAGAAAAATCCTTGTAAAGTAATCAAACAAAACCAATTTCCACATTGCTTATATCCAGAAACGTGTATCTTATTCTGCTTTGTCTTACACCTTTCAAAGTTGTATGTTTTTACATTGTTGTAGTTGTATAAATTATTCCCCTGGTTCTGCTCACTTCATTTTGTATCAGTTGCTTCACGTCTTTCCCCCAGGTTTCTCTGAAACTTCATGTTTTCTTACAGCACAGTAATAATATTCCATCATTTTCATATGCCATAGTTTGTTCAGACATTCCCCAATTCATAAGCACTTCTTTAGTTTCCAGTTTTTTGCCACCACAAAAAGAACTGCTATAAACAATTTTAAGCGTATAGGTCTTTTCCCACTTTAAAAAAAAATCTCATTAATATATAGACCTGGTAGTGATATCAGTGGGTCTAAGGGTATATATGCAGTTTAGTAACTTTTTGGACATAGTTTGAAAATGCTTTCCAGAAAGCTGGAACAAATTCAGCTGTAAAAACAAAGCATTAATTTATGTGTCTGTTTTTCCATATTCCTTCCAACATTTCTCATTTTTCTTTTTTTGTCATCTTTGCCAGCCTGATGGGCATGAGATGGAACCTCAGAGTCACTTTAATTTGCATTTCTCCCAATTATTAGTGATTTAAAACATTTTTCATATGGCTGATGATTCTCAGAACTACTTATCCAGCTTTAATCTTCAGACTCACAAGCCGTGTGAAAGTAGATGTCCCATAGTCATCTTACACTCAATATAACAAAAACTGAACTAATTTAATTATCTTTCTCCCCAAACCCTTCCCTCTTGCTGTCTTTTCTGTTACTGTGGAGGGCCCAGCATCCTCTCAGTCACCCAGACTCACAACCTGCGTGTTACCCTCCACTCCTCACTCTCCTGTGGCCAAATGTTTAGCCATACCCCTATTGATGGACATCCCAAGAACAAGGTTTAACAACATTCATTAGGAATTCTAGGATTTCTTTGGGGCCAAGTGCAGAGTGAAAAAATTTGTAATGATAATTATTCTCCATCCTCAATGACATTTCTCTTTTTTCTCTGTCTGAAGTTGAATGAGCTGGTGGTGGGAGACACTGGTGGGAAGCTGTCAGTATACAAGAATGATGACACCCGGCCATGGATCACCTGTTCCTGCCAGGGAATGGTCAGTATTTTCCTCTAAGAGGTTCCAAGAGGAGTAAATTGTTACTTTTCTCTTTGATTTATACAAAAGTTCTTGTATGAGAAACAGCAAGGAACCTGTTCAAACTGGAACATAGATTACATAAGGGAATTTAGTCTGTGACCAGTTTGGAAAGCCAGGGTGAAGCCATGTTGCTAATAGCATTTAAAGACACACCAGACTCTTTGTCTGAAATATATTCCCAAGTCACTTCTACCTCTTAGAATACTTAGCCTCCTTCAAAGCCAGCTCAGGTCTTCCTACATGAAGATCTGCCCAGTTGTTGGCTGTCTCTCCCTCTTGCAATTACTTTGTATGTCTTTGTTTCTGTATATGTTGTATTCCCCCGTTAGAACTCAAGCTTCCTTAGGGCAAGGACTGTTTTCTTTTTGTCTGACTCTCTACCACCAAGCGCAGTCTTCTTTACATAGGAAGCTTTTGATGTAAGGAGCACTTAATTAGACTGTTGAATTGAGGGATATCAGCTCATAGTGCTGCAGTTCTTTTCAGCTTATTTGTACATATAGCCTATAGCACAGTAACATGTTTGTGTATGCAGAATACACACATGGACAAGTTCTCAGTGAGTGATAAATATTAAAGCTCCTCCTTAATTCATCCCAGAAGGATCAAGGTAAATTGATCTTTCTTTAACACTTATGACTCTCTGGACCATCTTCTCTTTTATCTTGCAGCTTACTTGTGTTGGGGTAGGCGACATATGTAACAAGGGAAAGGTAAGTATTCTGATTTACCTCTGATAACTGAAGAAATTATGGTTCTCATTCCTCCCAACCCCACTGAAAGCAATGGCTCTGACCTGGCCCTCCTTTAGGATATAATGGGTGGCTCTGTCCCTTCTTAAACCGTGACACAATCAGCCCTCTCTTATCTCCTTACTTTTCTCCACTCATCAGTGTTTCTCACATATCCTTGTTTCTCTCAGAACTTGGTTGTGGCAGTAAGTGCTGAGGGCTGGTTTCACCTGTTTGACCTGATGCCTGCCAAGACTCCAGATACCTCTGGGTACCATGAAGCACCAGCGGGCGAGGAGCATCGACCAGTGTTCAAGCAGCACATCCCCGCCAACACCAAAGTCATGCTGATCAGTGATATTGGTGGGCCTCAGTGACTTTTCAGGCACCCACTGGGTAGAGCAGGAGTCAGGTCCCAGAGAAAGGGCAGAATGGTCAAGAAAAAGAGAGCCTAGGTCTTTTTCCTCTCTTAGAGGAATGAGCACTGAAAGATCATATATCATGAGGAGAATAGGTCTCTGTGAAGGTGGTATAAGTCTTGGACTAAGCAGTTATAGGGGAGTGCTTTCTAGGTAGCTATTCAGAAATTGTTCATGGTGGAAAGAGAATTGAGCTGAGCAGGTAGGGGAAGACAGTAGACTAGGAAAGAAGAAATAAAGGAGTAATAATAAAGTTGGATAAGAAGGTGCTTTGAGTACAGGAGTTTGAGTTTAACATTACTGTGGGTTGTGAATTTAGTAGATAAGTTGGTAAAGGGTATCAAGGTGGATGTGTTGTAGAACAGATCATGATATGGACACCAGAAAGAGGATGGGAACAGTAGTGGGCAGAGCAAGTATGGTTAATAATGGGCATCATTTGAGCTCTAGACCATCCCTTATTTCTGTATCCACAGATGGGGATGGGCGTTGTGAGTTGGTGGTAGGCTACACAGACCGTGTGGTGAGGGCATTCCGGTGGGAGGATGCCAGTGATGGCATGGAACATGTGACTGGACAGCTGATTTCACTTAAGAAATGGCTACTGGAGGGACAGGTGAGCAGGTGGCATGGAGACCATGAATCAAGGCAGAGAGGGGAAGGACAATATAGGGAAGGTTTGATGGGTTGACCAGCTGAAGGTTGAGGCAGGAGGGGATGTTGATAGGGAACATCAGAAGAATCCATTTTGGGATCAAGGTCTCGGGACAAATTAGTAGGGGAAGCAGGGGCATTTAGGAAAAGTCAACAAAGAGAGGATAGTACAATGTGGTTACTTTGGAAACTCCAGAATACATCCTGGTCTGTTCAGCATCCTTCTACATTGCCCTTTCCTCCTACTACATGCAGAATGCCATTTCTTTCCTTGCCAAACTTCTCATCTTCCCAATTCTACCTTAAACCACCTCTCCTTGATACAGGTAGACAATCTGTCAGTGACTCTGGGGCCTGAGGGAACCCCTGAACTGATGGTATCCCAGCCAGGCTGTGCTTATGCCATTCTACTGTGTACCTGGAACAAGGGCCCCCTCCCTGTCCCTGAGGAGATTAACAGGTAAGATCAGCTGGGGGCAGTAGTATGTGTGTTGGAGGAGTAAAGTTAGTGCAGGGAAGTAAGATGGGCTCAAAGATAACAAGTCGTGATGAAAAGAGTTCCTGAGGGCAGGACTCCCTTAGGAAAGGGCTTAGCATGAGCTGAGCACAGCCTATGATACAGGCTTGGAGTTGGCAAAAGTTTCCTCATCTGGGGCCCAGACCTGAACCTTTTACTGCATAGAATGCATTCAAGGATTTGTGGAACTTTGGTATCCACTTCTGCACTATCTAGAAGAGAGAACAAAGCCCTCCCCATTTCCCTCATCTTTACTTAACACAATAAGTCAGGAAGGGGATAAATACATAGAATATTCTATAATCCCAATGGCAAGGATACTCTTTATGGAGACCTCAAGCTAGCTCAGGTTCATTTGGGAAATGCAGTTCCTTTGACTTTCTATTACTAACAATAGTAGTTGGAAATTATTTGATTTTTGCACCAGTCCTGTGATGATACTTCAGGTATTATTTTTCCCATTTTGCAGATAAGGAAAGTGAGGGTCAGAGAGGTTAAGTGATTTACCCATCTTCACACAGACACTACAAGTGTCTGAAGCAAGATCCTGGGGCTCTCCATACTCGTAAGTCCAGTTTTCTTTCCACTACACCATACTGCCTATCCGCTAAGTTGTGTACTCTTCTGCCCATAGAGAGACCACCACTATCCGGGATGTTATCCTGCACCAGACGTCTGGCCGTATCCACAATAAGAATGTCTCCACCCACCTCATTGGCAACATTAGACATGGTAAGAAAGGCAGGTGGGAGAAGGAACTGTTCCTGGGAATAGAAGAGATAAGAAAATCCTCTCACCTGGACCTTTTGCTGCACCCAAATGATGACCCTTCAATTCTGCATTTTCCCTCTGCTAGCTGTACTTCCCCTCCCAGATCCAAGTCATCTGCCTTAGCCTCATCCTCCTAACTTTGTTCTTGCTCTCGTCTTCCTTATGTACCTCACCGATTCCTTGATCCCCTTATCTTTTTAATCCTCACAGGCCGAAGCAGTGAGAATAGTGGCTCAAGTCTCTTTGCTCTCTGCACCCTTGATGGTGAGTTCCCACACCTGCTTTATCTGTGGTGGAGTAGAAGAGGCAGTTGTATACCCACTGGCCTCAGAGTTTAACCCACCTGTATTTTTTTTTTCCGTCTGCAGGAACTCTAAAACTCATGGAGGGAGCAGACAAGCTGCTGTGGTCAGTTCAGGTGGATCATCAACTTTTCGCCCTAGAAAAACTGGACGTTACAGTGAGTAGAAGACTGAGTGGGGAAATTACATTTCCTCTTCCCTGTGGGCCAGTAGTAAATTGAACTTTTTTATACTGCAGTTGAATTTCTGCCATCCTCACTAAACTGTGTTAACCAAGTCTACATCGAAAGAAAATAGAATCATTCACTTAGAGTTCAGCCGAGTCATTTGGAAGTGAATTTAGAACTGCCCTCCCATCCCAGCAATCTATGTTTGCCTTAAGTTTGTATCACTTTGATATTTTTCAAAATTAATAATGGTGATATAGATCATAGGGCAAATAAGTGGCAGTTAGGACCTACTGACTTAGTGTAGGCCTAGCTCCAATATGTACTGGATTTTTTTTCACATCTTCTACTCTTCCCTGGATAGAGATATTTTCCCTAAGTTTAGGGAAGGGGGGAACTTTGATTTCCTTCTTGGTATTCTTGTTTTCCATCTCCCACAATGTTTATTTTCTAAAAGCAATGGCCAAAACCAACTTCAGTTTTTTCTAACACTCAAAGAGATTCCTTCCCATTCCCACATTCTTGTCATTCCCTGACTGCTTTTAGGGCAATGGAAGTGAGGAGGTAGTGGCATGTGCCTGGGATGGACAGACATACATCATTGATCACAACCGAACTGTGGCTCGTTTCCAGGTAGATGAGAATGTCCGTGCCTTTTGTGCAGGTAAGCTTCCCTGCCTTTCCTTTGAGTATCCAACACTCCATACGTTTTCCTTCTTGCCTCTATGCAGGCTTTGGTAAACAAGCTATGGTTTACAAAATGTAATTAGGGTGTAACAGAAAAAAACTGGACTTATGGTATTGTGTCACATTACTTTATTCAAGGGTAGTAGACATTCTCCTTTTTCACTGAAGAATTATAAGAAGAAGCTAATGTGAAGATTCGATAACAAACATCTGGTGAAGGTCACAGGACAGAAATGATTGACTAAGGAAGATCATGGAAATCTTCCCTGGACATCCCTGGACAGGAGAGAGTCTTATCTATCTGAGATGGTTTAAGCTGCTGTCCTGTCTGGACCTAGGGGAATGGAAATGAATCTTCTAAATTAGAAATTGTTCTCTTTATTTAAGTTAAACACCTTGAGGAGCAACAGGCCAGTTAAAGGACAATTAGTGAACTGAAGCAATAACTTAGGATAATATATGCTCAGCATATACTCTAGAATCCATAACTCTGGAGACCTGCAATGCTTAAGATATCTTCCCAGGAAGGGGCTAAAACCATAGAAGAACCTGGCTATGTAAGTGCAAACTGGGAGTTCCTGATTGTGTCTTCCAAGTCTGGTCATTCAGATGCTACCATCTAAGTGGGAAAAGTCTTCAAAAAGCACTTTTTTGGCAGTTGATCTATTTGTTGCTGCCAAATCTGGACAAGGAAATATCTGCACATCTGGTTCAAATGATTTACAATAATCTGTTTTTAGGAGTAGCCCAGGAGTGATAGAAAGAAAGTAGAGGGATAGCTTCATTTCTTTTGCTCAGTACTCGAGGAAGGATGTAAGACTGTGCCAATTCTAATCCCAAGATCTTGTTACCAACCTTATCATTTGTGGGCATGAACCATTAAACTTTTCTTTCCTTATCCTCTACCTTCAGGCCTGTATGCCTGCAAAGGAGGTCAAAACAGTCCCTGCTTAGTATATGTGACCTTCAACCAGAAAATTTACATATATTGGGATGTGCTGCTTGAGCGGATGGAGTCCACCAATCTGGTGAAAGTACTGGAGGCTGAGCCAGAGTACCGGGGCCTGCTACAGGATTTGGATGTGGGTGAGTCCTTCAGAAAGTAGAGAAGGGGAAGTCTGGCTCTCTGGGTTTCCCAGGAATCCAGCAGTTTCCCATTGTTCCTTCCTTTGACACTAGATCCTGATGACCTCACTGCTGTCCGAGCATTGATCCATCAGACACTTTACTATCCAGATAATTCTTCAAGCAACCCAGATCCTTCTTAACTGGAAGTGCTTTCCCAGGGGATGAGGGACTTTCTTTCCCAGTGTGAAAATCACCAGAATAGAGTGATGCAGAAACTTAGTGGTAACAGCACCACCCTGATAGCCTTCCCTTACTTCCTCACCATCAGTTCGACTGCTTATATTTCTCGGGGCAGAGGGGTGGGGGAGTGGGGTGATACAATCAGCTGTAGTCCCTTTTGTTTTATGTTTCTTGCTCCATTTACCCTTTTGGGGTCAAGGGAGAAAGAATACTCAGGTGACCCACCCCATTTAGAATATTACTTTTTATGTAGTGAATCTGGACACATTATCATTAATGGTAATTAGTGGGAGTGCATCCTCTTTCTTCTTGCACTCTTTCAAAGAGTGAGATGTACTTTATTTACATTCATCTTTAGAGCATCTATGACACTTTTCTCCCCAGGTTATCAAGAAAGAGACTTGGAGCAGAGAAGGAAAGAGACAGCATATTTGTGGCAGAAAGTTGAGCTGAATACAGAAAAAATAATTTGACCTGACTCCTTCCTAGAAGAGCTGTGTCCATAGGATCATAGAGGTGAAAGGGACCTCAGAGACTATCTAGTGCTACTCTCTCATTTTACAAATGAGGAAACTGAGGTCCAGGGAGTTTTTAAGTGACTTGCCCTAAGTCATAATATTGTGAAAGTTTTTTTCTGGGTCAAAGACTTCCCCTCCCCCCCTCAACTCTTAGAAGGGCCATTCACCTGGAAATCACCATTTCAAACTTGATGGTAGCCTTTTGGTGTTCATTGTGTGGGAGTCAATTTGAAGCATTTTTTTTTTTTGGCCTGATTTGATCTGTCTGCTTTCTTGATTGTCCTTTTGGATTATACTGTCCCCATTAATCAGCCCTATTTATATGAGTCAGATGGAATCCAAGTTCCATTCTTTCTTCTTCTCCCTGAGGAGAGACAATAATAATAATAACAATAGTGTCATCATTTATGTAGTGCTTTAAGGTTTGCACAGTGTTTCATATGCATTACTTTAATTGTTGAGTTTCCTCTACCAAGGATGGGGTTAATGGTAAGAGGAAGCCAGAAAGGACTTAGCATTAGAGAAGCAGTGTTTATTCAAATAAAGAGTCATTTGGGCTGGGACCTGCTGGAGATTTGCTAGAAGCAGACCTAGGAAAAGGAACAAGGAAGGACGATGAAAGTAGCAGACTTAAGAAAATTAGGTTGAGGGGAATGACAGAAACTTGTTGAGACCTAGGATAGGGCAAGATTATAATTTAATGAGCTATTGTCTTTTGTTTTAGAGGGATTGATGGAAAGGGATTGAGAAAGGGGGTATCCCTCCCTATTCTAATCCACTTCAACAAGGCAAGAGAATAGACAGGGGGAAATGGTTATCCTCAGAACCAAGAAGACCCAGTTTCTACCTAATCTAGCCCATAGGCCAGTGCCATATCTTTCCCCTCCCTATGAGTCATATTTTGGGAGAAGGGAGACAACCAGCCAGAAAAGCACTGGGGCCCAACCTTTTGGCATCCATATCTCTCTCCTAAAAATGAAAACAAGGGAAATTCTTTCCTCTTTGGCACAGCACCCAGCTGAGGGAAGCTACTAGGATTCAGGCTAGGTGAACTCCAAATTTATGGAGGTAGAAATGGAGGATGGAAAAGATAAAGAGGCCATAGCAATTAGAAGGGGCTCCAGAGCTAAAGCTAACGACCTCTACTCCCATCTCTCATGCTTCAGGAGAAAAATATTCCCTATAGGGTATGACCATGCAATCACTGAACTGTTCATACTCTTTGATCTAGTGATCCCACTACTAGGCATACACACACACACACACACACACACACACACACACACACACACACACACCCCCAAGGAAGTTAATGACAGAAAGAAAGATCCTATACATAATATACAAAATAATAATAGTAACATTCTGTGGTGACAGAAAACCAACAACAAAAAAATTGGAAATAAAATGGTTGCCAATCAATCGGAATTGGAAAAACTGAAATTGTAGTATATGAATGTAATGGAATGCTGTTGTACTGTAAGAAATAGCCAATGTGAGACATTTGAAGAAAGTGGGAAGATTTGTATAAAACCAAGAGAATAACATACACAATGACTACAATAATGCAAATAAAACTTATACTGAAATGCAACCAAACAGATTAATTATAGCAACGAGTTTGGGTAATTAAAAAATTCTTTCCTTCTCTCCGTGGAGGGTAAGGGACATAAGCTATTAGAGGGTCAATTTATTGGTTGGATTTTACCTAAAGGCTTTCTTTGTTTAAAGGGGAAATCCATAGTGGGCATTTAGGGGAGGGCGTATGTTAAGAGGGCATATGACTGTAGTGTAAAGAACAAAAGTCATCAGTAAAAAAACCAATAACGATTGTGTCTAATACCAGACTAACTAATGGATACAAGAGTTGAGGGGTGAAAGGTAAACTACAAATGAGTTTATACTTACGTAAAATCTAGGGAACAACGTAAGATCGATATTGGGCAGCGGGGGTGGGGTTGGCACTCCAGAAAAAAACAGTTGTTAATGAGCTGATATGCAGAGAGTTAGAAAGGTGGGTGTCAGAAGGATTGGTGAGTGTCAGAGCATCCCCCATGGAGAAACTAGGAGGTATAGTACTTAGGTCATGGACATTAGGAACAAGAAGACCCAGATGGTGTGGCAGATGTTGAGACATTAAGGATCAATATTGGGTATCAGTGATGGGGACCTGGCAGTCATCATGCAAGTCAACTCAGTCAATACCAAACCTCAAGACTTGTGCCCCTGTAGCCTTACCACTTTCTGAGACATTCTTGCTCCAGGGTTGTCTCCTTTGTGAAAAGAAAACCATTTGAGGAGTAGAGGTGGTTTTGGGGACAAGATACCTCAGTTCAAAACTTTCCCTAAGAACTATCTCCTGGAAAAGTGAGGCCATTTCTCCAATTATTATTGATTAGATATGGCTATTGAAAGCTTGAATTGCTTCCTTTGAAAACTGCCCGTTTGTATGCTTTGAGAATGGCTCTTGTTCTATATTTCATTCAATTCCTTACATATTGTGTAATTAGACTTTTATTAGAGAAATTTGCTGAAAAGATTTTTTTCTCAGTTAACCTTTTTCCTTCTAATTTTAAATGCATTAGTTTTATTTGTATAAAAACTTTTCAGTTTATGTAATCAAGATTATCCATTTTATCTTCTGTGATTCTCTCTATCCCTTGTTTGGTCATGAATTCTTCCCCAGTCCATAGTTGCTAAAGGTATTTACTTCTCTGCTCCTCCAATTTACTTAGGATGTAACCTTTTACATAGAAGTTGGTGAAAAAGAAAAGAATACATGTGGGCAAACAAAACATATGAACAAGGGTCAGGGTAGTGGGCAGCCCACTACCCTGACCCTTGCTCATATGTTATGCCCGCTGCCCACGACTCTTCCCCTAAGGCCTAGTGTTTTCTCCTGGGGATAGATTGTGGTTGTTGTCACTGGCCAGGCTCCTGATGGAAAGGCAGGAATGGTAGTCCTGGGCAGGGGGATCTCAGCCGTAGTACACCATGCTCCAGGTCAATACAGCACTATTGGGAAAGAGAATGGGGAGGAAGTTGAACCGCCACATGGAAAAACTACAGGGAATAAGTCCTCCTCCTCATACATAGACTTCTTCCCATAAAACAATTTCACCCAAACTCTCTGCGTCTACCTTTCCCCTACCCCCTTATCTTCTCTGTTCAGCTGAGATGATAATCACAGCTCCCACCCACTTCTTTCCAACCTCTATTTTAAAAGTATTATCTCTCTCCATCTTCTCACTCTCTATTTCCATCTTGGGAGGGAGCCAGGTCCCACCTTCATATTTTACATGGGAGAAAGCAGGCCAGGAACTACTGTAGTATCTGAGGAAGTGAAGCTTAGCTTTGAAACTAGAAATTCTGAGTCCTAATTCAGGGCTCCTCTTACCAACATCTCCCAAACCCCTATTTCTTCTTCCAGGGCATAAACTCATGCACCAGGAGCTACAGGACAGGCCACCCTCTCCTCTCTTACCTTGAGAGATATCAGTGTCTGCAATCCCAGGCAAAATTCAGGACTCTCATCATCTGCAGGAATGGAAGGGGCATAGAAAAAGCTGGCAGGCACCCCAAAGGTATTGCTGCTTAACTCATCACCCAGATCTAGAAATATTGTGAAAGAATGGGGACAATAGGGCAGCTAGGTGGCACAGTGGATAGAGCACTGGCCCTGAAGTCAGGAGGACCTGAGTAAAAATCCAGCCTCAGACCAAACACTTGACACTTACTAGCTGTGTGACTCTGGGCAAATCACTTAAACCCAATTGCCTAAAAATAAAAAATTAAATAAAAAAAGAATAGGGACAATGGGAACACCTATGCAGAGTGTTCTGCCTGTTGCTAGTAGGGGATGGGAAGCATAATTCTTTGTGGGATTTTTTTTTTTTTGCCACAAAAAGAGAATGGCAGAAAAGATAGAGGAGGTAGAGAAGCTGATAAAGCCAAAACTTACCAACCACCTGAGCTGAGCATGCCACCGTCTCTTGCCCTAACTGCAGCTCCAGCTGTTCCACATGGGTCAGGAGACCAGGAGCCTTTTTCCCACCTGGGGCTTTTAGGCCCCCCTCCCCTAGCCTGTGGTGGAGAAGCAATGGTTGTGGCTAACCCAATTATCAGTTAGTCATCCCTCCCTCCAATCATTTGGTCTGCTGTCCATTTCCTGGAGTCCTACAATATCTGAGACCATGGCATGTCTACTATATACCCCCTCATACCTTCAGGGAATCACATTCTTACCCAAGACGACCGAGGCATCTAGCAGAGATTTGGTTGTGTTGAGTACCTGTATCCACTGCCACTCTTAATACCTGGTCCCGGCACTGGGAGAGAGGAATCCAAATGGACTGAATGAGTTGGGGTCAACTCCAGGAACTTCCCTTGCCTCCGTTCCTCTCTCCTCTTCCACCCTCTGCCAAATCAGTGCTTTTTTTTTTTTTTTTAGAAGAGGGAGGAATTTAATTGACTTCTCAATTAAAAGAAAAAAAAAAGATTAAAATGGGAAAGCCAGGACTGGTACACATAAAAAGGTGGAATGAGGAGAGGGAAAGAAGCTAAATGCCATGCCATCACACATTTAGGAACTATTGAACCAGAAGATGGATACGGAAGCAAAAGATGGGAAGATGGATATTTAGGGAACTGAAAGAGAAAGGTCTCCATTTGGGAAGAGGAATGAACTACTGGGAAAGGAACTTCATATTAGGAAGTTCTAAGGTCAGGTAGGGACGCGTCATTTGGATATAGAAAAGAGTGAGTTCAGTCTCATATATATATGGGCATCACACATGTACATAGTGTACTTTCCTCACTTGGCAGAGATACTTCCTGATTTACCCACCATCAGCCATTACCGCCTCTCCTCATTTGACATTTACTGTATCCAAATTTGTCACCCAATGTAGATCTTGGTGGCTGTTACCTCTAGATCCTCAGATTATTCTCTGTTTTTTCTCAAGTACAGTATCTAGCTCACTGTCTTCCTTTTCACCCCAATTCCTGTTAAACATACATGTTATTGATGTTCCATTAAATATCCAGACTTCCCATTTCCTGAATCTACTCCTATAACTGACTTCTACTTCACCCAGCTGTACAGAGGATGATCAAACCCTCAATCTTGCCTTCACCCACTACAGTACCAACCAGGCCCTCAGTGTAGGAAGGCAATTCTTTGACTCCTCTCTAATGGATTCTCTATCCTACTCTCCAGAGAAGCTGTCCTATGCCTTCTCTCCTTAAGCCTCACATGCCACCCTTTCCACTACTCTCACAATCTTGCCTTACTTTTACTTTATTGAAAAAATGGCTATATGTTGAGAACTCCCTTTTATCTCTTTTACATCTCACAACCCTTTACTTCAGCCTCTGATAAAGAGGTGACTCTTTTTAACCAAGGCTGCTCTCACTACAAGGCAGCTAAGTGATTCAATGTTTAGATCACTGGACCTGGAATCAAGAAGACTGGTGCCTGGATTTGAACTCAGCTACATACTAGCTATGTGAGCCTACAGAAGTCACTTAACGTCTTCCTGCCCCAGTGTCCTTATCTGTAAAATGGCAATAATAATAGAATCTACCTCCCAAGTTTTGTTGTGAGGATAAAAAAAAGTGCTTTGCAAACCTTGTCACTTTATAAATATTAATAGTTATTATAAATCCTCATTTCATCTGCCCTCTTTACCAGAAGATCATCCCAACAATCATCCCTCCTTTCTCTAATATTCAATCTTTCCCTCTCTACTGGATCCTTCCCTATTGCCTACGGATCATCTCCCCCCCCCCCACCTTCTCAGGTAAATTAGAAAAGCTATCTACACTCTTATTTCCTTTCCTGTCACTTGTCAAACTTCAGAAAACTGGTTTCTAAACTCTATGCTCAATTGAAACTTCATTCCCCAGGGCTGCCAGTGATCTCATAATTGCCATACCTGATGGCCTTTTCTCAATCCTCACCCTCCTTGACCTCTCTGAAGCACTTGATACTGTTGACCATCCTTTCCTTCTGAATACTATCTTTTTTCTGGGTTTTAGTGACATTGCTCTGACTTGATTCTTCCGCTCTGCTGAGCATTCTTTATCAGTCTTCCTTTTGGGTTCATCATACACACCATCTTTTGCTGCTCTTCTCTTGCTATGCTCCTTTTGGGTGACCTCATCAGCTCATATGGTTTTATCAGTGTTTTATCAAATGAGTGTTTTTTTTTTCAATTACATGTAAACAATTTTTAATATTAATTTTTAAAATTGTTTTTAGTTCTAAATTTTCTCCCTTCATCCT